GTGTATCCCAGAAGTGGTTTAATATCGCCTCCATACTCTGCAGGGTTGCACTCCGTTGCGGTTGGGTTGGTCGCTTGGTCATCATGCTTGTCACACTGCCGGCCGCCATTTTAGGTGCGCCTTGTGAGGGGCTGCAGCCTTGAGTTTTAAGATCAAGCTTGAATTGCTGTCTGGGCTGGTTATTTTGGCTGTCGAGTGTAGGCTGGGATGACCCCCACCGGCCCGGGGGGGGGAGGAAGGCGATTGCACCAAGGGTGTTGTGTGCGATGTTACCATCCAGGAGAGCGGCCGTCTCTCCCTGGCTCGGTCGCGCGTAGGCCCCATGTGCTTTGTATGGGTTCCCGGGCTATGTGAGTCTTGCTTGTGGATTCCTTCGATGCCCCCGTGTTTCCCCATCTCGTTGTGTGCCCTCTGGCTCATGGGTGAGTTTGGTTTCGGGATATTTATCCCTATTTGTGTCGCTTCTTGCAGGAGCTGATTCACAACACGTCTGATCTGCTTGGTAGTTAGGCTCCGCCCCCGTTATATATAATTTAAAGAGAGGCGGTAATCCTTTTTTATTTTCAATGGCTGCCATTTTTATCACATGACCTCTAACTATACTTTTATAAGAGCACCAGACCATAATGTCCGGTGTGCCTTTGTTTTTATTTTTTAAAAAGAAGAGATTTGTTATTTTTTTAAATTTCTTCTACATTATTTTTTTATGTAGTATAAAGTCTTTTATGCGCCACTCTTCACAAAAATTATGAAATTATCTTTGTATTCCACCATGATAGGACTATGGTCTGACCATGCTGACCATGCTATATCCTGTATATCTATTTTTTTACACGATATAGCATTGTCACATTTCCCAAGATACGATCTATTCTGGAGTAAGAGTTGAATGTTCTAGAATAACATGTGTAATCTAAATCGGTAGGATGAAATATTCTCCATATATCTCTTAGATTACGTTTGTTCAGTAAGTTTTGCAGTCTGTTCTCACCTTTTTTTCCTATTTTTTTTCTATCATTCTGGTTCTGTCTTTTAGAGGGTCAACTATGCAATTGAAATCCCCCATAATTAGTACCAACCCTTGTTTGATCTGCTCTACTTTTTAAAGCACTTTTGATTTAATTTTTATTGTAGCTTTATTTGGTGCATAGATATTAGCTAATGTGAATAACTTGTTATTTATTTCACATATTAAGATAATATATTGACCTTCTGGGTCTAATTCTTGATGTTTAATAATTAAGGAAACATTTTTTGCAAAGATAAATGCAACGCCTCTTTTTTTCCTCTCTAAAGCTGTACTTATAATAATGGGGTATCTTGATGAATTTTTTTTGTCTTCTCCTTGGATTTTGCCCAATGGGTTTCTTGCAGTGCACAGATTTGTACCTGATTTTTTTTTATCAGAATATCTACAATTATAGATCTTTTATATGGTGTATTAATCCCCCGGGCCTTTATTGAGATCAACTTAATTTATGGTTTCTTTTCAGTTTTTGGGACTCTCTCTCTCCAAGTATTACCATATATATATATGAAAAACAAAAAACAAAACATTTTTATTAGTATTTACACAAAAATAAGATGGGTTGATCCAAAACAATGGTATCAACCTAAAACATAACGTATGGCGGAAAACCCCCGTCATACAGTATCTCGAGTAATAAAACACATTACTCAGATATAGGTTCCACGTGTTGTGTGTGAGGGTAATCGATCTGAGATCAGCCTGACTAGTGGCACTGCTAGTAGGAGGAGAGTGGAGGAAAAAAAATAATTACATTATTATCTCACTTTTTCCTTGTGCAAAGCTTGTGTTATTCTTAAACTTATCACTCTTTCCCTTGCCCCTAACTTTATTTTCCTTCCTATCTAGGTATGTGCCTTTCTATGTTTTATAACTTCCATTAAAGCAGGGGTTCTCAATCCAGTCCTCAAGGACCCCCTAACAGTCCAGGATTTAGTGATTACCTGGGTGTGTCTAAGGTGTTTATAAAAAGAAAATAAACACCTTAGACACACCCAGGTAATCCCTAAATCCTGGACTGGTAGGGGGTCCTTGAGGACTGGGTTGAGAACCCCTGCATTAAAGGATCACTATAGTTTCAGGAAAACAAACTCGTTCTCCTGACACTATTTAACCCTTAGGTCCCCCAACCCTCAGGGCCCCTCGGCGCTGATGACCGCTCCTCCCGAGTGGAGCGGATTGCATTTGCGCGGGAGGAGCACATGCTTTCCTATGGACGTTTTGCACACTGAATGCGATTTTCGCATCCAGCGTCACAGAAGAGCCTCTAGCGGCTGTCAGGAAGACAGCCACTAGAGGCTGGATTAACCCTGCAATGTAAACATCTGAAGGATTAAAACCTGGGGGGGCCTGGCACTCAGACCACTTCATTGAGCTGAAGTGGTCTGGGTGACTATAGTGTCCCTTTAAGTATAACTTTTTCCGTGTGTCTTAATTTGTTTCCTTCTTATTGTTGTGATCCTAGTAAGGATAATTTTCCTTCAGTTTGTGCATTAATTATTTTGTTAAGTGCCTGCTTGATGAAATTTTTAATATGATCTATAATTCTTTATTTTTATTTCTTTGTTTCCCCATAATTCCTAATTTACTATGATTAATATTACCCCATAGCTCCTTATCCCTAGTGATAATTGTAATAGATGATTTACTGCAAACCAATTAGTTTGAATGACTATCTGTTCCTGTCCAAATTAAAGATAATAAAGTTGCGTGAACGCAGAAGTAAATTCACACTGAGACACAGAGTTCAGGTTAATGAAAGAACTTTGGAGAAGTTTAATGGCTTCTGTTTAAAAAGCAGGCTCGCAGGCCCTTTTAAAGGCATTATTACATCATTGAAGAAAATCAAGATATAGACAAATAGACATTGTTAATTGGCTTAGGTGCTAAGTAGTTAGTAAAATGCCCTCCCTACGGGGTGTACCATCTTAGGTCACTATCCTCGTCATGATTGTCTCCTCCAGGTTTTAGCGCCATTTTGTTAACATGAGGAGCTCACTCGACGGGAGGGGCCTTTTGGCAGCTATCCATTTAGAGTGTAGCCTGGCACTGTTAGTTTCTCAAGGTTAGGTTTCAAGGCTTTTAGTAAATACACATTTTATCAAAGCTATCATTGTAAGTGGGATGCTACAGTGTTTCACACTACAGGTGCATAATATTTCTTGCTGACATGCAAATTCTATATTCTATAGACAAAGCTTTCTTGTAAAACTATGGGGCCTCTTAGAGGTATAGCAAGAGGATTTAAAGGGGCCTTACAGATTTATAGAGGCCTAATAATTCTACAACAATAATAAACAAAAAAAAACAAAAATATTTTCTCTTAATTAGGAGGTTGAATGCCACCAATAATTTTCTCTTTATTTTTCCCCCTCCCCCACCTCTTCTTCCTCTCCTTTTCCGTTTCTTTAAATATTTGGAACATCCTGATTTGTTGACTAATGGCTGGGACTGATTCCGATTTTTATTTTACCAGCTTTTCAGGTCTTCTGCACTATTGATGTAGGTGAGATTCCCTTCGTGTGATATTATTCCCTTCGATTATTAATATTGTTCTGTCTCAGAATTGGTGTGCCTTCAGAAAAGATCTTCCTCTTTTGTCTGGTTGGCCATGACAAATCCTGGAATATTTTTAATGTTTCATATTCTTCTGTGCATTCATTACTTCCAATGGCTCTCAGAATTTGTGTCTTAATTTTAGAGGAGGCACATCATATCATTACATCCCTTAGGAGATGTTCTGGGACACCTTTAGGTTTATTTACTCGGTGGCATATTTCCATCATAGGGATTCTGGGGTCGCAGTCAACCTTCAGGTGTTTAAAAAATTCCTGTATGGTTAATGTATGGTTCCAGATTTTTTAGATTTATTTGTTCTGGTACTCCTCTAATTCTTAAATTGTTCCGTCTTGAATGGTCTTCTAGGTCTATCAATTTGTCAGCCATCTTTTTCTCTAGTGCCAGTTGTTCTTCTTTGTGGGCGTTTTCCTTGTGTTCCAGCCCATTCGATTTTTCTTCTATTCCTAGGAATCGTTGGTTAAGAGTCAGCAGTTCTTTCTTGATGTCTATAGTATTAGCTTGAATTTCCCAAATTGTGTGTCTAGGTGTCTAAGTAGGTAGTCATATTCACTTCTTCCTTTTCTTTGACTTGATTCTTGGTTTTCCTCCATTTGTACTTTGTTAATACCTTCTTCTAAAGGGATATTAGAGAGAATCGATTCCTCCAGGTTCGTTTAATTAATTGTTGGATTTGGTGAAAAAAGGACAGGTGTTTTTCCTTTTTTTTTTATGCTTGCCATTTGTGTCTTTTTTGTAGCCATTTTTTTATAGTTTGAATTCAATCAAGTATTTGTTTCCTATAGATAATATGATCTTTAGGCTATTGCTGTCTTTACTTTTCTGTGTATTAATCTTTAGTGTCTTTAATACAAAGAAAAGTAATTAATAAATTAATAATTTTTCAACCTAAATCCTTCTCTTCTACACCCTCACCTCTCTGTCCTGGTACACCTTTATAGGGGAGGGGTATTTATGCTTAAATAGCAGGAATTAGGGAGAGGTGCCAGGTGTTGTGGTAATATGACACAAAAAAGTTAAAGCACCAAGTAGAAAGGTAATCTTTAGATCAATTATTGCCCTTTGTGTGCTCCCCTCTATTTTGCCCTCCACTTTCACCTTCCTCTTAGGGGTCCATTAGCTTTATACTAGCCCCTGCATTATACACTGACAGTGAATGCATAAAATATTGTGTCTACTGAGCCCTGCAATGTAACTTAACAGTGTGTACAAACAAATAAATGGCAATTGGCACTTAGCTTGTGGGGTTATATCCCAGCTTGCAATTTCCATTTATTGCCACACTGGGTGCACTCTCCGAAGCCAGGCTCCCTTAGGCCTATCCACCATGGTGACCGCCTGCTGCTCTGTCCGATGCGTCATATGTCTCCCTGCTCCTTCATGTGGCACCCGGTCCTCACCTCACAGTGCTCCGAGAGGCACCCTGGGTAGCGCCGCAGCTTAGTCGGGACAAGTCCTTTCCCCCTATCAGGCTCCCTCACTCGCTCCCTCAGCCGGTTTCTATGAGGACGCAGCAGAACGTGCTACGTCATCTCGCTCCGCCCCCTAACTCTGTGACATTATTAGAATATTGTCTAGATATATTATCATTCTTACTCCTCTGCTTTGAAGAAGGGATATTACTGGTTTGAGTAATTTGTTGAAACACCAAGGTGCAGATGATAAACCAAAAGGCAATTATTATGTTATTATTTATATAGTGCCAACAAATTCTGCAGCGCTTTACAGTGCAATGATTTGAATTGCCATTTCTTCCCTTCCCATATGAACTGTAAATAATTCTGACAAGAGTGGTGAATAGGTACTGTGATGTACGCATCTTCCAAATCTATTTTTATCAACCAGTCGTTGAGTATTAAATACCCCCTATCTTGAAATGATGGTATGTGACAAAATTGTTTAGATATTTTAAATGTATAACTGGTCTGTGACCAGCATCCTTCTTTTCTTACCAGGAATATATTGCTTATGAAACCTGGACTGTTCATGGGACCCTGGACAATGGCATTTTTTGAAAACAAATTTAGTATTATTCAGGGCCGGACTGGGGATACGAAGCAGCCCTGGAAAAAAATCTATGCCAGCCCTATAAGTCATTGTGCTATATATATATAGGCAATTGAAATAGTTGGCTGCATGCTCGGATTTCCTTAAAACGTAACTTTTATTGAAATATTTAAGAGAAGATCAACGTTTCAGTCCATCTTGTGGACTTTCATCAGGATCATGACGAAAGTCCACAAGAGGGACTGAAACATTGATATTCTCTTAAATATTTCAATAAAAGTTATGTTTTAAGGAAATCTGAGAGTGCAGCCAACTATTTCAATTGCCTGGATACTGGAGCCCTGGTGATGCACCCGGTCACACAACTTTGAAGCCTGAGTGCAAGGTACAACAGCTTTTATATTTATATATACAGTTGCAAGAAAAAGAAAAAGTATGTGAACCCTTTGGAATTATATGGATTTCTGCACAAATTGGTCCTAAAATGTGATCTGATCATCATCTAAGTCACAACAATAGACAATCACAGTCTGCTTAAACTAATAACACACAAAGAATGAAATGTTGCCATGTTTTTATTGAACACACCATGTAAACATTCACAGTGCAGGTGGAAAAAGTATGTGAACCCTTGGATTTAATAACTGGTTGAACCTCCTTTGGCAGCAATAACTTCAACCAAACGTTTCCTGTAGTTGCAGATCAGACGTGAACAATGGTCAGGAGTAATTCTTGACCATTCCTCTTTACAGAACTGTTTCAGTTCAGCAATATTCTTGGGATGTCTGGTGTGAATCGCTTTCTTGAGGTCATGCCACAGCATCTCAATCGGGTTGAGGTCAAGACTCTGACTGGGCCACTTCAGAAGGCGTATTTTCTTCAGTTTAAGCCATTCTGTTGTTGATTTACTTCTATGCTTTGGGTCATTGTCCTGTTGCAACACCCATCTTCTGCTGAGTTTCAGCTGGTAGACAGATGGCCTTAAGTTCTCCTGCAAAATGTCTTGATAAACTTGGGAATTAATTTTTCCTTTGATGACAGCAATCTGTCCAGGCCCTGACGCAGCAAAGCAGCCCCAAACTATGATGCCCCCACCACCATACTTCACATTTGGGATGAGGTTTTGATGTTGATGTGCTGTGCCTTTTTTTCACCACACATAGTGTTGTGTGTTTCTTCCAAACAACTCAACTTTGGTTTCATCTGTCCACAGAATATTTTGCCAGTACTGCTGTGGAACATCCAGGTGCTCTTGTGCAAACTGTAAACGTGCAGCAATGTTTTGTTTGGACAGCAGTGGCTTCCTCTGTGGTATCCTCCCATGAAATCCATTCTTGTTTAGTGTTTTACGTATTGTAGATTCGCTAACAGGGATGTTAGCATTTGCCAGTGACTTTTGTAAGTCTTCAGCTGACACTCTAGGA